CTGTCAGAAACTCAAATGTGCTTCTTAAATGTTGGTTGTGAAATATGGTTTGAAGGGATAGCTGAACATTGGTTGTTTGAAGGAAAACATCATAGAATAGGTTTGTTCAGCTTCTCCTTCGAACAGTAATGCTGTGATATGTTGTGTAATGCTCCAAGGATTTCTGATATACAGATCTGAGAACGCACATTTGGAAAACCAAACCACTTCTGTTTGACAAGAAGTCGTTGTGGAGGAGAGACAGGTGACAATTTTTTACATGTGCAATAGTTGTGCACATGTAAAAAGTACATGCATATGGTACACCAACAAGCTCATGATTCCTGCGTATCTTTGGTCACATGAAGTAGGCAGCATTTTCAGGGGAGTGTTACACACCGTCTGCCAGTGTCCCCCAACCCCCCAGGCCTGCCCACTGTGGTTGTGCACTGGGTGGGGGTGGGGGAACAGAGCCGGGGGGAGGGGGCTGCAGAAAAATAGTTTCCGTAATTGTCCCTCTCATCTTACCCAATAATCATTATCTGCAAATGTAGCTCTTCCTCCACCCCTTCTACATAGAAAGCAGATAGATAGTTGGGAACACCTATCTCTATCCTTACAAACAAACCCCGGCTTAGCTAGATACCGTATTTTTCGCTCTATAAGATGCACTTTTCCCCTCCTAAAAAGTAAGGGGAAATGTGTGTGCGTCTTATGGAGCGAATGCAGGCTGCGCAGCTATCACTGAAGCCAGAAGAGCAAGAGGGGTCGGTGTGCAGCGATCCCTCTTGCTCTTCTGGCTTCGAGAATAGCCACACAAAGCCTCTTGAGCGCAGCGGGAGTGCTCCTGCCTCTTCGCTCAAGAGGCTTTGCGTTGCTTTTGCTAAAGCCAGAAGAGCAAGATGGATCGGTGTGCAACGATCCCTCTTGCTCTTCTGGCTTCGGGGGTAGCCACTCTTGAGTGCAGTGGGAACGCTCCTCCCTCTTCGCTCAAGAGGCTTTTCGTTGCTTTCTTGTTTCTTGTTTTCCTCTAAAAACTAGGTGCGTCTTACGGTCGGGTGCATCTTACAGAGCAAAAAATACGGTAGCTTCTTTCCTCTATTTCCTAACAAAAAGAGAGTAAAAATGTTAGACAATTGTGAATCCTGGCAAGGAACCAGGAAGTGCAATACAGTGGTACATCAGGTTAAGTACTTAATTCGTTCCGGAGGTCTGTTCTTAACCTGAAGCACCACTTTAGCTAATGGGGCCTCCCGCTGCCGCCGTGTGATTTCTGTTCTCATCCTGAAGCAAAGTTTTTAACCCCAGGTACTATTTCTGGGTTAGCAGGGTCTGTAACCTGAAGCGCATGTAACCCGAGGTACCACAGTATGTCTCTTACAGTCCTTCATTCTGCAGCTCAACTTTCCTAGGCTTCCATGTAAAATCTGCCTTGCCTCTCCTCTCTTTCTCTGTTCCCTGCTGCCAGATGTTCCTCGAAGGCTGGTAGGGACTGTTTTTTGCTTGGAGTAAAATATGTTCACCGGTACGAGAACGCCTCGTGCTACATCCCATGCCCAGGACCTCACTTTGCTTGACTGGAAACGTAGCCTTGCCACTGGTCACGTGAGGAGCTGGAGGTCACGTGATTTGCAAGCCTGCCCTTAGCCAGGCGGGTGTTAAGCTTTTCTTCCTTGCTTCTGAATGTGTGTAATCAGAGCAACCCTGTGCTGCTTTTCTGCTTAATTCCTGACCTCCTTTGGATTTTAGCACTGGGCCTCCCCGGAACGCTTAAGCTGTTCAGATGTTTCAAATGCAGTGTGGCTGTGGCTACAAAAAACAACTGTTTTGTATGTTGGAATGTTTGACTGGCTGCGGACCTTCCAAATTTGGTGTTCCTGCCGGGAGAAGCAGGTGCATGCTCTTGGGAATGACTAATAAAGCAGTAAATAAAAAGTGGGGGTTTTAGTGTCGTGTCAGAAGGGAGCTTTGAGAGAATCCACACCAGCAACTTCATTTTAGCAATTGTGGCAAAGTCTAGTGAATGGACTCTGTTTACATTATATTTGGCTTGTAAACAGCCGCTTAACTTGGTTGCCTGTGGCAAGTATGAATTCTTGGCAATCAAGCAGGGTGTTTTTGCAAGATGAAAATCAGCATGTGGCGCTTGGTTTTTCTTTGCTTTTGACCCTTTGTGGCAATAATATACTGTATCTAATACAGTGGTACCTCAGGTTATATATACTTCATGTTACAGACTCTTCAGGGTTACAGGCTCCACTAACCCATAAATATTACCTCGGGTTAAGAACTTTGCTTCAGGATAAGAACAGAAATCGTGCGGTGGTGGCGCAGTGGCAGCGGGAGGCCCCATTAGCTAAAGTGGTGCTTCATGTTAAGAACAGTTTCAGGTTAAGAACGGACCTCTGGAACGAATTAAGTACTTAACCCGAGGTACCACTGTATAGGTATGTCTCGGCACACCTAGTATCTGTGGGCAACTAATGTTTGTGACTGTATTTGCAAAGCTGAAGTAGTCACTGGGACTATGGATCTCCACGGTTTTTATCTTCCATGGATGAAATTGGCTAGTTTTTCACGCTTCGTGCGGAAGCTTCTTGTGCCCCCACGCAGTATGCATGTTTCAGACCCGCTTTCATATCTTTGCAGATTTATTACTTCCTCCATTTTACATAATTTGTGCGTATTCCATGTGGTGTATTTGCAAATCTAATGTGGCTTGTTGTCTGGCGCTGAGACTAGGCTGCAAAAATGCATTCTTGGAAAATGAACATCATTTGCATACTGTGATGCTTCCTCCCGTAGGCAGATTTTTAACCCCCTGCCCTTTAAATAAAGAAACCTTTATTTACCTTGTTTGTTCAACAGCTCCCTGGATGATGCGACGCTTTGCACTGTAAATAAATAGCTGTGGAGATGCTGTGGCAGAACTAACGGCTTGCTTTGAGTTTGTGAGGTTTTTCTGTGCCGCTGTTCTGAGGCTGATTCTTTTTCTGCGGCACTGGGCTGCCTTGATTAGCTTATCAGAAGAAGAAGGAGAAGAAGAAGAAAGAATTGGGCACAGCTGTTGCTCGCAGATACAGACGAGGGATTTTGTTAAATTAGGATGCTAACTTTGATTAGAATTGAAGAGAAATAAAGCACCCATGGAAGTGGGATGATCTTGTGCTCCAACTTGGGAAATATTCCCAAGGCTATTGGAAGTGAGGAGCACACAATAGACTGCATGACACACTTGCCTGATACATGCTAGCAGAATCCTTCCCTTGGTGACTGTCAAGTAGGGTTGCTTTGCCTGTTGATGTCTCCTTAAATAGAAAGGGTACAGCAAGGAGTCCCTGTTGTGGGTGCTGCCTAGTGACTCCTTGTTTTATGAAATGTCCTCCCTTGTGTGGTGTGTCTTATCTCCCTCATTATTAAAATCTATGTGGAATTTTGGGACGCAGGTGGTGCTGTGGGTTAAACCACGGAGCCTAGGACTTGCCGATCAGAAGGTCGGCGGTTCGAATCCCCGTGACAGGGTGAGCTCCCGTTGCTCAGTCCCTGCTCCTGCCAACCTAGCAGTTCGAAAGCACGTCAAAGTGCAAGTAGATAAATAGGTACCGCTCTAGCGGGAAGGTAAACGGCGTTTCCGTGCGCTGCTCTGGTTCACCAGAAGCGGCTTAGTCATGCTGGCCACATGACCCGGAAGCTGTACACCGGCTCCCTCGGTCAATAAAGTGACATGAGCGCTGCAACCCCAGAGTTGGCCACGACTGGACCTAATGGTCAGGGGTCCCTTTACCTATGTGGAATTTTAAAACATACCTGCCCACCCAGGTGTTAGATAACTGAAAGAGCCTTTGAAATCTCCCAAGCATATTCTGCACCTGGCTATCAGCCACTTGTGACCAAGTGAAGATGCCCGGGCGCCAGGATGGGGCCTGACGTCTCCATCACCTGGAGGTGCACGCCTGGGTATCCTCGGATCTTAACTGTTTTCACACACTAGCAACACATCCTGTAGAATCATATCCATTATATTTTATCTACACAATCAGAGTGAATTTCAGGAACCAAAAAGTCTTATTGAAAAAAATACGACTTTCGAGCCTTCTGGCCACCAAAATGGCAACTAGGCATTATGTTTTGGTGACCGTTAAGCCTGGTTTAATTAGCCATTTGGCACCTAACTTGCATATCAGAGTTTCTAACACTGAGCTGAACCTAGACCTTACTTAGCTGGGAGGATGTTTTTAAATGTTTGTGTTGTTTTGCCGTTTTTATTGTTTGTTGCCCTAGTTCTTTGGGAAGGAAGGGAGGGATTGTTATTTTGAAAAATAATATAGAGGTGACCTACATTGTGGCTATTGGAATATATAGGGAGACACCTCCTTCTCCTTTCCTGCGCCATACACTGTACCTTGAAAGCACATTCAAAGAAAATCCTTTCCCTCAAAGAATTCTGGGCACTGTAGTTTTTCCCCTCGCAGAGTTACGATTCCCCTCGGCCTTTAACAACCTGCAGTGCCCAGAATCCTTTGAAGGGGAAAATTGTCCTTCACATGTGCTTTAAAGTTATAGTGTGTACACAACCGCAGAGCGGCACACCTTACACGAAGCAGGCGCTTCAGGAGATAAAGTGTGTGTGCTTTGCAGAAAACAAGCCTTAGATACACACAAGGCAAAAATCTTCTCCTCCAGAAGCTTCTCATTCCATTGGTGGGTGAGCAGTCACTAGTTCCACTGCTTTGGGTTAGTGCTTGGCTGAGTCTGTCCGTGCTGCAATCTTTTTACAAAAGGGCCCTTTTCTAATGGGAGAAAGACAAACGACGGCCACTTTGTGTGCTAAGGGTTATTAATAGATGGAACCGGGGAGGAAATAGTGTTTTAAAAGGGTTTCTGAAGCAATGGGCTTTTCATTGGTTAGCTTTCGTAGCCTCAAATGTATGTTTCTGAAAAGTGGAATGAGGGGATACGACTTGTTCTCTGTTGGCATAAGCAGATGCTCATCATCTCTCTCCCTTTTTCTCCTTTCTTAGTCCCTGTTGCTCTTGGCTCTCGTGGGAGCTGTCTTTCTGGGCCTCAACCTGGTATTCCTTGGTATTTATCTGATCTGTCTGTGCTGCTGCAAGAGGGAGGAGGAGTCGGAGACGAAGAGGCCCAATTTGTGCTGCATCACCTGGACTGCTGTGGTAGCCGGCCTCATCTGTTGGTGAGTTCATTTGGAGCCTAGAGAGCAGAAGGCCCATGGGTGATGGAGCGGGTGGGTGGTGTCTGAAAGCTTGGGTTCACTGGTAGGGTTTCCACCTTTGTACTGACAAAAAATATAATGTGGGGCCTCTCCCTGCCCCCCAATCTGGTACTGCAGTGACTTCAAAGTAACCCATTGCAATCTATTGCAGCCTAATAAGATGGCTCCTCTGGAATTTGTCACACACGCACGTGCCCACGAATGTGTAAATCTGTCTGTGCTTGGCTACCCAGAGCTTAAATATATGACCTTTTACACAAGCGAGGAGCCACCACAGAAAAGGCCCCGTTCTCACGTTGCCACCCTTTGGATATCTCGTGGAGGAGGCACCTGAAGAAGGGCCTCAAATCATGGCCGCAGAGTCCAGGTTGGTTGACATAGAGAGAGGACGTCCTCGAGGCATTGTGGTCCCGAGCCATTCAAGGCTTTATAGGTAAACACCAGCTCTTTGAATTGGGCCCAGAACTTAATTGGCCACCAGGATCGGTGTACAGTGGTACCTCTGGTTACGAACTTAATTCGTTCTGGAGGTCCGTTCTTAACCTGAAACTGCCACCGTGCTGCCGGTGTGCAATTTCTGTTCTCATCCTGAGGTAAAGTTCTTAACCCGAGGTACTACTTCCAGATTAGTGGAGTCGGTAACCTGAGGTGTTTGTAACCTGAGGTACCACTGTAATACGCTCAGAGGTCAAGTTCCACCTTGGAAAACTGCCTGTAGGCCATAATGCGTGGCACACGCCTCTGTTTTATCGCATGCACACATGGCAGCTCGCACTCAGTTTGTCCTGTTACGTTTCTCTCACCCTTAAAGAAACAAAGGGTCCACAAGGGAAAGGGAGACAGTTCAGCTACTGTTTTGCTAAAGGGCATGGTCTGACAGCTTCCTATTCCTTGAGCCAAAGACTCATGTTTCATCTTCCACCACCAGTCCCCTAGTTTGGACATTGCAATTCAATGCTCTTGAAGGCCCTTCCCTGTCTCGCTCTAGAGGAGCGAGCATGCTGTGCGCATTTGCAGATGCTCCTGGGTGCCTCACTTTAATCGCTGTTTCCTCGAGAGGGCTTCTTTGCTCCAGTATTCATTCCTCTTTTGGCTAATCCCAAGAGGAGGAGGGAGATGGGGGTGTGGAGGAGTCCTTTAGCTTTTAATCCCACCCCTAAGCAGATGGCACAGCTGGCTGTCCGGGGTCACGTGAGGCTTGAGGTTAATTGTGTATGGAGTCTGACTCAAATCAAAGGAGGGAGAGCAGGGTTGGTGGTCCCTGGAAAGGGAAAGCCCTAGGTTCTTGTCTATTGCTTTCTCTCCATCGCCTATACCTCTCCAGGATGAAGAATACTTTTCATCTAGAGCAGTGGTTCTCAACCTGTGGGTCCCCAGATCTTGTTGGACTACAACTCCCATCATCCCTGAGCTCTGGCCTTGCTAGCTAGGGGTGATGGGAGTTGTAGTTCAACAACATCTGGGGACCCACAGGTTGAGAAAGGATGATCTAGAGGCTTCCTGAATGTCTAGGGTGTTATTTCATTACTCAGTTGGTTGAGCAAGACCAGAGGTAGATACTGCATGTGGCAAGGAATCGTAACATCATCTTTTCATAGAAGAACGGAGGCCACTGGTGGACTATCTATCAAATTATAATTCTTGTATAAAATCACGTGCAGAATTTGATATGGGGGGAAGAATGTAGAGAACGGATTTGGGGGGCTTAGAAAATAAGCGTAGATGTGTTTTAAAGCAGCTATTAAGGGGGAATTTTTAAAAAATCAGGGAAGGAGGGAAGGGAAGTCAAGAAGGGGGGGACCCTAATAAATACAACTGGAGTTATGTAATAAATTGGAAGATTCAATAAAAACCATTAAAGAAAGAAATCGTCACTTCACCCTAAGTTAAAGCAACTGATAATAAGCCCAGCCCGCTTTTCACCCCACCTGACCCCAGTGATGTAGGCAAGTGGTGTTAGCACAGGTCATAGCTACATCACAGAATTGCAAAGGTATATAGTCCAGGGGTAGGAACCTGCGACCCTGCGATGTCATAGATCCTGTCAGACTACAGCTCCCGTCTTCCCTGACATTTGGCCATGCTAACTGGGGCTGATGGGAGTTGGAGTCCCTCAACGTGTAGAGCACCACAGGTTCTCCATCCTGCATCAAGTCTACCCACTGCAGAACCTTCCCAAAAAAAATCTAAGGGTTGAACATGTATACAATATAAGGCATCATCCGAGAAGTTATGCAGCTGGTAGTGCCGCCGCTGCAAGTTGTTGGAGGCCATTGCGCTTCACTAGTGTTGCATGTTGCATGCAATCATTGGCAGGATCATTGTGGTTGTTCCCTGAATTGATGGAGCTCATTGGATGCAACGAGAAACTGAGCCTTTAGTGCAGGGGTTCTCAAAGGGTGCGGCAGGAGAGGATGGCAAGTGTGGCAGGAGGACCCAGGGACAATCAAAGAAATATTTAAACATGTAAATATTATTTATAATTTAAACACAAGTATTTATAATTATAGGTAAAAGGTAAAGGTACCCCTGCCCGTATGGGCCAGTCTTGACAGACTCTAGGGTTGTGTGCCCATCTCACTTAAGAGGCCGGGGGCCAGCGCTGTCCGGAGACACTTCCAGGTCACGTGGCCAGCGTGACAAAGCTGCATCTGGCGAGCCAGCGCAGCACACGGAAACGCCGTTTACCTTCCCGCCAGTAAGCGGTCCCTATTTATCTACTTGCACCCGGGGGTGCTTTCAAACTGCTAGGTTGGCAGGCGCTGGGACCGAGCAACGGGAGCGCACCCCGCCGCGGGGATTCGAACCGCCGACCTTTCGATCGGCAAGCCCTAGGCACTGAGGCTTTTACCCACAGCGCCACCCACGTCCCAATTTATAATTATAATTATTTATAATTTAAACATTAAATATTTAAACATTTCAGTGTAGCGTTGTATAGTGCAGTATCAAAATAAAATAAACAATAATTTGCAGAATATGGGTAGATACCTTTTTCAAAATCCAGCTCTGCCATGAGTTGTTTCTTTGTATTTCTTACCAATAAAAAAATTGGTACGACCCAAGAAATTTTTTATTCTGAAAAGTGTGGACCAGAGGGGAAAAAACCTGCTTTGGTGTCACCAGCCCAATACTCTGCCAAATACTCTGTGGAATAGTCTGCCAAAAAAGATCAATCAGTTGCTTTCTGTTTCAACTTTTAAACGCCTGCTTGATTCCCCCCCCCCCCGCCTTTGTGTCAGGCTTATGCAGCCAATAAATAATGCATCTTTCCATTAATAGTTTGCTGGTTTCTGTTTTTAACTTTTTGTATGTGTGGTGGGGTTTTTTTAATTGGATGGTTTCATATATAATTGTTGTAAATGCTCTGAATGTAAAATTCATAAATATGTAAATATGTATGTAAATTTTTTTTATAAATACATAAAATAGAAAGACAAGGCGTGCTTTGACTTGTAAGGCAGTGATTGAGCCATACCAGTATCTCTTGTGGCGTGTGTACACACACACACACACAGAGAGAGAGAGAGAGAGAGAGCGCGAGAGAGCGCACTTCACACCACAGTTGCCAGTTAATTTAGCTTTGGGGCGGGGGATTGTATCTTGGTAAAATAATCAGGGCAAGTGAAACTCATCAATTTCCCCTGAGAAGGGGGAAATGTTTAGTTGCTGAGATGCCGCCTTGCCTTCAAAGGGCCCCCCTTTCTCTCTGCTCCCCCAATTTAGGGGTGGTGTGCCCACCTGTCTTCCTACTGGCAGCTACAATTTGTTGTGCCCGTGTGCTGGCTGCTCCCTTCCCACAGTTACACAAGTTACCCGACTGCACCACCTACAGAAAATGAACTCTCTTGCTCACAATTGCCAAGCCACCCCTTTGTGGAAACAGAATGCAGAATTTCACTACTAGAGAGCCTGGCAATGCGTACATGTGAGTTAAGTGCCACAGACAAAAGGGAAAAATATTTGTACCACAAGTGGAGCAGTTTGTGAGCGCATGTTCTCATTTTGCTTCCTGTTCGTCTTTTTCTTCAGTGGGGAAGCTGCAGCTGTGAGGCGAGGAGAGCCGTCCATTTTGTACACCGATGGGCTCTGCCTCCTTCGCGTCACCATTGCTCAAATCGCTTGGCTTGGATAGTGGGGTTCATACGCAGGTTGGGAGGTGGTTGGGATGGCAATCCTGGGTGTACTGGAGAAAACAAAGCCTCTTCCCCCATTTTTTTACACTCTTAACCCTGGCCTCTGCCTGAGACACGTGGTTTCATCCCAGGTGGCAGATCTGCGCTCAATTCACCTTGCCTCTTATGCAAGGCAGAGTGATCAGATGAACTCGGTTGCCTGAGGCTTTCACGGTTGGGTTACTTCTGGCTGTAAGGATGAAGTTGGGAGTGGGGGTTGCCCATCTTCAGGCCCCGATCTTCCTTCTACTTTCTAAGACGTTATAAATAGTAGAACTAGGCACATGGTTTCGACATCTGGCCACCCATAGCTGCAAACACAGAGGAAATAACACCGCTGTACAGTGGTACCTCGGGTTAAGAACTTAATTTGTTCTGGAGGTCCATTCTTAACCTGAAACTGTTCTTAACTTGAGGTACCACTTTAGCTAATGGGGCCTCCCGCTGCCACCGCACCGTCGAAGCACGATTTCTGTTCTCATCCTGAAGCAAAGTTCTTAACCCGAGGTACTATTTCTGGGTTATCGGAGTCTGTAACCTGAAGCATCTGTAACCCGCGGTAGCACTGTATTATCAGCTTCGTATGTCTCCCCCAATTCGTACATCTGCTGAGGGACGCGGGTGGCGCTGTAGTCTAAACCAGCAAGCCTCTTGGGCTTGCCGATCAAAAGGTCGGCGGTTCAAATCCCCGCAACGGGGTGAGCCCCTGTTGCTCTGACCCAGCTCGTGCCAACCTAGCTTTTCGAAAGCACGCCAGTGCGAGTAGATGAATAGGTACCACTGCAG